CTTTCCATAGTTTGTTTACTGTTGATAATGCTGCTGTAAACATTGGGGTACATATACCCCTTCAAATCCGTATTTTTGTACCCTTTGGGTAAATACCTACTACTGCAATTGCTGGGTTGTAGGGAAGTTCTATTTTTAACTTTTTGAGGAACCTCCATACTGTTTTCTGGAGTGGCTGCACCAGTTTGTAGTTCCCACAAAGAGTTCAAGAGGGTTCCCATTCTCCACATCCTCACCAACATCTGTTGTTTCCTGTGTTGTTAATTTTCACCATTCTGACAGGTATGAGGTGATATCTCATCATGGTTTTGATTTACATTTATATGATGATGAGTGATGCTGAGCATCTTCTCATGTGTCTGTTAGCCATCTGGATGTCTTCTTTGGAAAAGTGTCTGTCTATTCATGTCTTCTGCCCATTTGTTTGCTTTTTGGATGTTGAGTTTGATAAGGTCTTTATAGATTTTAGATACTACCCTAACCCTTTGTCAGATATGTCATTTGAAAATACCTTCTCCCGTTATTTGTTATGTTGATCACATAGGTATGTCTTGGTCCTGTTTGGAAGAACATTTTCATCCTTTTCGCTTCATTCTTTTATCTGATAAACCGGTGTTAAAGGAAAGAAGGAAGTAACATGTACAAGTATCTGTATGGGCCACACTGATCATTCTCATATGCTGAATTTTATTTAAAGTATTGAGTGTGTCCCCTGTGCAAATATAGCCTGTTACATAATAAGTAATCATCATTGTTAGGCTAAAACACTGACATCAAGGAGTTAAGGTGCCTACTCACCTCATCCAGTCTATTCTGTCTGTCAGAATCATTACTATCTCATCAGGTATGCTTTTGAACTTGCTCCGAGTCTTTTGTCCCATCTAGTTGTGTGTCTTACTCCTGCACCTCTCTGAGGTCTTGGTTCTCAGTCAACTTCCCAGTAAGTAAGGCAACATTTTCTCCCTATTTTCCAGTCTCCATTCCACCTTTTCCAGAGTACCAGTTGGTATAGGCTGGGGATTGCTCCTCTTACAAACTGATCTTGATAATTTTGAACCCATGATATGTGTCCAGCATGAATCAGCAGGAACTGTGCTCCGCAGTCTCTCATAGCCTGAAAAGCAGGTGTGCTCTTTAAGCACATCTCGGAAATGGCATACCCAACTCTGCTCACATTGCACTTTATCATAAATAAGGTGCCCAGATACAGCCCCAAAAGGGGGAGAGGGAAGTGCAATTCTACTCTGTGCCTACAGGGAGGTCTGCTGCAGTATTTTGTGAAGAGCATCAGTGACCACCATGATCTGTATCTAGCTGCTAAATATTGTCTATTTCTCCCACATCAGGGAAAATACATCCCACCCTTCTTCAAATGAAGTAACCAAAAAGGTCAACTCAGGCCCAGCCCCAAGGTCAAGGTTATGTGTATCTGTGCTGACATCCACATTAATTCTGTACATTTTTATTTTTTTGGTACGTCGACTTCTAAACTAAAGAAAAAAGCTATTTGACCTATTCCAGCATACCTGGCATATATACAACAATAAAGAATAGCCAGGATAATCACAATCAATCCACTGGTTCACAGCAATTTTGAGACCCTACTTGGCAGATCCTGAGTTGGTTCTATTCCCTGGGAGAAAGGCATTTTCTTTGATTAAGCTTTAATTCTGCTCTTAGGGTAGGGCTCCAAAGTGCTCTTCTCCCTGGCTCTTGACTCCATTGTCTGAGAATTTATTCTTTTTTCACTCGCTACTTTAGCCATAGAATAATGAGCATTGGAAAATAAGGTCTGATCAGCTTTTCCAAGCCAAAATCAGCCCAAAAATACATCAGTTTCAAATAGCCACCGATATCTCTTCCTGACTTGATGGCAGTAGAACTCTCTTAAAACCTAGCCAGCTTGAGAGTTTCATATGTACATAGCCACATTCACAGACCTTTTGTGAACACAATTCTAGAACCCACAATGTGCCTTTGTTTTTGCATACCACTTCCTCTCACACTCTTTTGCTTTCAAATGGACTCGTATTCTTTTTCTTAAACTAAGTACAATTACCTTAGCCATATCAGCCTTCAGTGGCAGAGTTGTACCTTTGTCTCATACCCTGAAGACATGTTTGTACAATTAAAGATTTTACAGAATGACAACTTAATCCATTTAGGGATTTTTAGCAGTGGGTCTGATTATTTTGCAAAGCTGAGTTTCAATAAGCTTTTACTCTCAAAGCGTTTCTTGATATTCTGATTTACTGATGGGAATGAGAAGTATTTGATTCTTCTAACCCTGCAAGAACCTGTCTTTGCTTTATCTTTCTTTTCTCTTTCATAACTGCTTTCAGACTGGCCAATTATCTTCTGAGATAATTTCTTTCTTATGTTAACTTACCAAGAACAGTCAATAGCAGCCAACACATTCTAATTAATGTTCCTTTTCCAACCTCTGCCCAAACTGCAGCTATGCACTCATTATATGTGCTCTGCCTTATTACAGATGTCAACTTTGCCAAGCATTTCACCTATGCATGACATAAGCCACATTGTTTCTAGTCCTAAGCCTGTTATAATTTTGTTTCAGCATTCTTTTTTGTTAATTAACCTATTTTCTTTTATTTTTATTGAGATATAACTGACATTTAACATAATATTAGCTTTAGGTATACGAATGTTTTGATACATGTATATGCTGCAAAATGATGACCACAATAAGACAAGTTAACATCCATCACCCACATAGTTAGAAATATTTTTCCATGGATGAGAACTTTTAAGATCTACCCTTATTGACTTTTTATTATGGAGTACATAATACACTAATTGTAATTACATTACACCCCCAGGACTTATTCATCTTATGACAGAAAGTTTGTACCTTTTGATCCTCTTCATCTCTTCTCCCACCTCCAACTCCCCACTCCCAGAATTCACCAAACTGTTCTCTGCATCCATAACTTCAGTTTTTTTGTTTTGTTTTGTTTGTTTTGTTTTTGTTTACACATATAAGTGAGATCACATGGTATTTCTCTGTTTTTGTCTGACTTATTTTACTTATTGAATCACTGGTTGAAACCCGTTTTTAAATTAGTATATGAGAGGCGCCTGGGTGGCCCAGTCAATTAAGTGTCCGACTTCAGTTCAGGTCATGATCTCACGGTTCGTAGGTTTGAGCCTCGCATCGGATTCTGTGCTGACAGCTCAGAGCCTGGAGCCTATTTCAGATTCTGTGTCTCCCTCTCTTTCTGCACCTCCCCAGCTCGTGCTGTCTCTGTCTCAAAATTAAATAAAACCCCCCCAAAAATTAAAAATAAATAAATACATAAATTAGTATGATAGGAAATAACACACCTACATGTGTATGCACACAGACACACACAAACTTCCTCTCTCTCTCCTTCCCCCCTCCCCCATGCAGTTCTGGGTTTAGAGTCTCTCAGTGAGAAACATGTGCAAAGTTCTGGATGGTGATAGGCAGAGGTCATTATTCCCCAGAGGCATGTTTAGGCAGGTACATGGACAGAGGGAAGGTCTTAGAATGGGACCCTCTGGATGCTGAGATTTCACTCAGCTCTAGAAGCTTCCACAACAGCCTGCCTTCAACTGTTGCTTCACTGATGTTTGCTCTCAGCTCCTCAAACATTAAAGAAGATTCAGAATCTCTTTACATAATTATTCTCATATTGAACACTTGGATACCTTTTGCTTTTCTAACTGACATATTAACGAATACACTGACCCCTAATACACTGACCCCTTTTTTCTTGTCCTTTTTCTTCCTTTCTTTTCTTTTCTTAAGTTTATTGTCAATTGGTTTCCATATAACACCCAGTGCTCATCCCAACAAGTGCCCTCCTCCATGCCCATCGCCCTCCTTCCCCTCTCTCCCACCCGCTTCAGCCCTCAGTTTGTTCTCAGCATTCAAGAGTCTCTCATGGTTTGCCTCCCTCCCTCTTCTCAACTATTTTCCCCCTTCTTCTCCCCCATGGTCCTCTGTCAAGTTCCTCCTAATCCACTTATATTTTTCTGATTGGTATATTTGACCATCAAGATTCTTTAACTGGAAACTCGGTGGGAAGGATAAATGTGGGATTTGTTGAGAATTACTAAACCTACATTCTGTAAGAGTAATTCATTTATAATGTCTAATATGTAAAGGAAATTAATGGTATAAAAATCCCTAACAGTCTGCCTCTAGATCCTCCTTACTGTGGGTTTGATTGCTAATAATCCTTTAAACTGTGATTAGGGGAAGGGCCTCCGAGGTATTCCAATCTCAGGACATTTCTTTAGGTCTCATGGTGAAATTAGTTCCATCCCAACAACTGATGGTCACAGCAGAATCTTACTCTGTGCTGAGAATACCAAATGGTTTCCAATTATAGAGGTCACCTCAGTCTCACTTCTGTTGAATCAGCATTTGTCTATCACCTTTACAGTTCTTTGTTGTTGCTTGTTTCTTACTTTTCTTTTTGATTTGAGTTGTGTTGTTTGAGAAAGCTTTTAAGTGAAAATGATAGTTATTATATAAGCTACTACTTTATAAATCTATGCCAGACACTAAGCGTTTTTTCTTTAATCACTTTCTTCTTTATAGCTCATTTAGCAAGTGAGCATTCCACCCATTTTACAGATTAAAATGAGACTTAAATAGGTTTTGTTACCTGTCAAAACTTGGACTTGAGAATGCAGGGGTTTCTGCATCTGTGCTCTAATTTATAGTCTATTACCTCTTGGCCCCTTGTCACACTTTATGTGTTTATTATAATTTAAGATTTACAGAACCTTTTTTTACATATTAGTCACATTATTGACTAATAATACTGGTTATCATTTGTTAAAATGTGTGCCATGTTGAGCCAAGTACTATACTAAGCACTTACAGAAAGGAACATGGGGTTTAAGGGTGTAAACATGAAGGAAAACCAAACTCTTGACAAAGGAAATTAAGCATTCAGAAAATTCACTAATAGAACCATTTTGCCTCTTCTTTTGCTCTGTTTCAGGAATACCAAATTGATATATTTTTTGCTCAGACCTGGACTGACAGTCGCCTTCGATTCAACAGTACAATGAAAATACTCACTCTGAACAGCAACATGGTGGGATTAATATGGATTCCAGATACAATCTTCCGCAATTCTAAAACTGCAGAGGCTCACTGGATCACCACACCCAATCAGCTCCTCAGAATTTGGAATGATGGGAAAATCCTTTATACTTTAAGGTGAGATGTTGGTGGATTTTTTTTTATCATTGATGGGCTGATATTGGAGTCCATAATTTAGATCATCATAGACCAGGGATGCTATTTTCATATCGCTGAGTTCTATCACTTCTCATGTTTGACAGGCTATCTCATCTAAAAAAGTTCATCCTAATACCACTATATATGAAAATAAAGACATTCAAATGATCTGCAATGGATATAAACTCATTACTTCATCCAAATCCATTTCTGTTGGAAATAGGCTATGGAAATTATCTTTAATGTTTTTAACCCAGTGGGTCAACTCAGCTAGGAAAATAAAGTTGTCTTGGCATACTAATTAACAAATGTAATCATAACCAAATTTAAGACCAGAGGGAAATAAGAGCACAGAGGGAATTCCCTAATGCATTCCTCATGGAAGTGGTAGCTAGCATAATGAGTCTTCCTAAAGGGTAGGCGGTCCTCACAAAACCCAGCAATGTAAGAGAAACTGCACTTCAGAGAAGTGAACTGACTTGCCTGTCCAAAGTCACCACTGGTAGGTGGTGTTATCAGAGCCTCTGTCTCTCAGAAGTCTTTCCATCAGGATGGTCCAAGTCTAACTATGACCTAGCTGTAACATATCACAGGGATACCATACACCTGGACTAGCTTTTCTGTTCATCTGGCATTGGTATCAGGACAGCACCCTCCAGACAGTGTGGTCCCTACTGCCTGTCACCTCTCAGGAGCACTGGACATGCTCATGCTCTTCTATCAGACTTTTTCCTCACTGCCTGATAGCACCATGGCTCCTCCCCGTGTCTCCTGCTCTTGCTCTTGTGCTGCCCCTCCTCATTCTGCTTCTTCTGTCTCAGGACTTCCTCATCACTTCACTCACTTTCCCCTCTCCTGCTGGCTTACCTCATTCATTTCCATATCTATGTTGAGGTTTCCTGCATGCCTACTTCCAACCCAGAACATCCCTTCTGGACTCAAGATGCTTGGAACTACTTGCCCATGTGATGTCTCCTCCTGAAGGTCTAAAAGGCATTGTAGACTCAGCATGCCTCCACATAAGGTGAATTTTCTAATTCTTCTGACCCATGTGTCTTCCTGGCTCAGTGAAGCCCCCCACCAGCCATGGGCACTTTTCCTCTCTCACCCTCACATTCAGTGTATGAGCTCTTAATTGCAGGTAAGTTGTGGCCTGAGGTGGAACAGGTATTTCCTCATCAATCTTAAAAGAATGTGATTAAGACTCTGAAATAAAGGTGAGCCTCAGCAAACCAGAACAGGGACATGGCCATTACAGGGATTCTTTATAGAAAGAAACTCTGATCCCAGGGCTATCTGCTCTGGAATGATGCAATGCCACCACCTAGTCAAATGAGGGAGTTGTCCAATATGAAATCATTTCTGCAAGTGGATTATTTTGTCATTATACCTATTTAGACAAATACATCAGTTTCAAAATGGAAGAAGCTGTTAATTCAGTCAAACAGGTTGAAGGCAAAAATGTATAAAATAAGTTGTTTTTATTTGTCTCCTCTCTGACTTGGCTTATATTTCTAGATGTGGTTTGGAATTTTAGTAACTGAAATTCTCTCTGTTACCAATAGCTAAAAATAAAAATAATAAAAGTAAAGAAAACACAAAGGCCACTAAATGGTATCCCTGAATGGATGGCACCACTGTCAAGAATTAAATGTACTGTTCTCTCTCCCCACTTGTGATAAAGTGGCAGCTCCCTGGTCTTGATCTGGGACTTTTCTGGGTTGTTTCTGGCCAACTTCAAGAGTGACCCTTGTCTCTCCCATAGGCTTACCATAAATGCAGAGTGCCAGCTGCAGCTGCACAATTTCCCCATGGATGAGCATTCCTGTCCACTGATTTTCTCCAGCTGTGAGTACTAACTTGGGGTATAAATGCTTTGTAAAGGAATGTCTAGCTTCTGTTGATTTTTGATAGCTAGTCATGTGATTAGCATCATAGCATCACTGTGGAACCAGAAGAAGTGGATAATGGTTTTAGTATTAGACATTTGGAAGTATGTAAAATTCATTTACAATATTTTGGGGTTTAATATCATCTTCAAGCAAGGCATTTTGTATTCTGAATAGAATGATTAAAAAATTCACTTAAATACATTTATATTTGTCTCATTGCACTATTGTGATTTTTCAGTATTTTATCTTCCAATATTTACTAACAAGTAATCTTTCATAGATTCTTAAAGATAATACCTAATGCATACAAAGATACATATAAAAGGAAATATCAAATTTATGTGTTTATTTATAGAATAAGTTTTTAAGTAATAGTCAATGTAGATCTGTAGAATTTAAAATAGTTCAATTTAAATGTAGTTATCACAAGTAGTTAAGTATTACTCATAAGAATTTAACTGACTTTATTGGCTTTCTATAAAATTTCATACAGTGCTTGACAAACAAATGTAATGAAATCTCAAGCAGAAGGTTTTGTGGGTTTCTTCACTGAACATTACAGTGAAAAGATGAAAATGAAATAAGAGATGAACACAGTTTACAGTTCGTTTTAGGTCCAGAAACAGACAAGATAAAAAACAAAATTTCACTGATCTCTAGGTTGGGTAAAAAAAAAATTTTCTTGATATTTTTTAATTTTTTAAATGTTTATTTTTTAATTTTTTTAATAGTCAAGTTGGTTTCCATATAACACCTAGTGCTCATCCCAACAAGTGCCCTCCTCCATACCCATCACCCCCTTCCCCACCCCCCCCACCCTCATCAGTCCTCAGATTGTTCTCAGCATTCAAGAGTCTTTCATGGTTTGCCTCCCTCCTTCTCCCACACTATTTCCCCCCCTTTCTTCTCCCTCATGGTCCTCTGTTAAGTTCCTCCTAATTCTCCTATACGTGCAAACATATGGTATCTATCCTTCTCTGCATGACTTATTTCGCTCAGCATAACACCCTCAAGTTCCATCCATGTTGCTATAAATGTTTATTTTTTGAGAGAGAGAGAGAGACAGAGTGTAAACAGGGGTGGTTCAGAGAGAGAGGGAAACACAAAATCTGAAGCAGGCTTCAGGTTCTGAGCTGTCAGCAGAGCCTTGGGAAGCCTACTTGGGATTCTCTCTCTCTCTCTCTCTCTCTCTCTCTCAAAATAGATAAATAAAAAATTATGGAACCATTCAAATAGTTTACTTCTTTGTGAGTCAGTTTGGTATATACACATATAATTTTCCTAGTGTCTTGTCCACTTCAATGTTTATTAGTGTTTTCAATCAACCCAATTTAGCTACGTAGATCCTTCCAATACCCTGGTATGCTATTCATTCATCCACTTACTTTATAATTTCAATAGTTGTTTCTCATTCTTAACATTCTAATTTTACTTTTTTCTGATTTTTATGAAATCTAACAGTATTTGTTTATTCACTAAAATTTTAATGTCATCTTACATTTATTTAAATTTTCAAAATTTTCTGGTATCTTGGTAGGAACAATTTGCAGAATTTGTTGTTTTGTCCTACTCTGTTACATGGTAATTCATTTACTTTTCTATTCAATTAGTAATTTGTTCATTTGAGCTCATGTTTCTTGGAATTTTTTCTGCAGTATTTCTTTGATGCTTACATTTAAAATGGTTTTTTTCTAAAGAAGTCTTTCTCTGGTTCTGCCTGGTTATCTCTATAACTTTAAAGTGTAAGCTTGGGGGTCCCTGAGTGGCTCAGTTGGTTAAGCGTCTGTCTTCAGCTCACGTCATGATATCGCAGTTTGTGAGTTTGAGCCCCATGTCAGGCTCTGTGCTGTCAGCTTGGAGCCTCCAGCCCGCTGCAGATTCTGTGTGTCTCTCTCTGCCCCTTCCCTGCTCATTCTCCCTCTCTCCCTCTCAGAAATAAGTAAACATTATATATACATTATATGTATATATATATGGTTTATATATATTAATTACATATATTATATTATAATATTATATATTATTATAATAATATATATATAAGGTTTAATCTTGGAGTCCTGGGCCACACAGATGATGTGAATTCTAGCTACATGTCTGATTTCAGGCTGTGTTTTTACATTCTTAGGAAGGACTTATTTTGCTTTTCTGCTATTCTCAGAGCCAAATATGGACAAAGGGTCTCCTTTAAGGGAATATTTATCCTGAGTCTACAAGCTGAGGTATTCTTCATTCCCTGTAGAAGCAGCTCAAATTTCCACTGAAAAATGCAAAGATAAGCAAAAAGTAATGGTCCACACATATAAGGGAATATTATTCAGACTTAAAAAATATGGGATTTACGGGGCGCCTGGGTGGCTTAGTGGGTTAAGCGTCCGACTTTTGCTTTGGTCATGATCTCGCGGTTCATGGGTTCGAGCCCTGCGTCTGGCTCTGTCCTGACTGCCAGTTCAGAGCCTGGAGCCTGTTTCAGAGTCTGTGATTCCCTCTCTCTCTGACCCTCCCCTGCTCATGCTGTCTCTCTCTCTCTCTCCTAGAAATAAATAAAATGTTTTAAAAAATATATGGGATTTCCATCATATGCTACAACAAGGATGAAATTTGAGAACATGATGCTAAATGAAATAACACAGTCACAAAAAGACAAATACTGTATTATTTCACTTATTTGAGGTATCAGAGAAGTCACAGTCAAAGGACATAATGTCAAAAGTAGGTCACCAGGGCCTGGGGGTAGAGGGAATGAGAGTTACTGTTGAACGGGTATAGAGTTTTATTTTTGCAAAATAAAAAGTATTCTGGAATTGGATAGTGGTTATAGCTACACAACATTATTAATGTACTTAATATCACTGATCTGTACACTTAACATTTGACATTATGTATATTTTACCACAACAAAAACATTGCACAAAAAGTATAATAACTAGAATCAAACATTCATTAGGGGGCTATTAAGCAGATCTGAGCATAAAGAAGGAAGAATCAATATACTTAAATATAGACTCATTGCATTTTTTAAATGTTTATGTATTTTGAGAGAGACAGTGTGTGTGTGTGTGTCATATGCAAGCAATGGAGGGGTGGAGAGAGGAAGGAAGATTTTCCCAAGCAGGCTTCATGCTGTCAGTGCAAAGCCCAATGCAGAGCTGAATCTCAGGAATCGTGAGAACATGACCTTAGCCAACACCAACAGTCAGATGCTCAACTGACTAAGCCACCCAGGTGCCCCTAGATTCATTTTCATCATAGAGTCCAAAGAACAGAAATACAAAAGAGTTAAGAAAAATGAACAGAGAATCAGAGATTTGTGAGATATAATTAAGCTTACTAGTATGTGCATAAGGAGAATCCCAGAAAGAGAGGAGACAAGGAGAAAGCAGAAAAAATATTTGAAGAAATAATAACAAATGACTTGTCCAATTTGATGAAATATGTGAATTTACACATCCAAGAATCTCAATGAATTTCAAGTAGCACAAACTACACTTAAGCATACTATAATCAAACTGTCAAAAGACAATGACAAAGAGAAAGCGGCAAGAGAGCAACTCATAACTGATAATTAGCCCTCAATAAAATTAACAGCTGATTTCTCATCAGAAACCATGTGTTCAGAAGGCAGGGAGGTGGCATTATTTAAAGTCTGGAAGAAACACTATCATCCAAAAATTCTATGTTCACAAATCTACCCTTTAAAACTAAAGAAAGACATTTCAAAATGAACTAGAATGGAGAATTTAATGCTAACAGACAAACCTATCCTATAAGAAGTACTAAAGGTCGTCCTTCAAGCTGAAATGAAAGAACATAAGGGGGTATAAATGGAGCTATATAAGAGTAATTTTTTTGCATTCTATTGAAATTAATTTGATATTAATCCATAGTAGATTGTTTTAAGATGTTAACTGTAATAAGATAATCACTAAGAAAATAACTTAAAAATTAAAAGAAATAGCACAGATACTAAATTTGTGCACTAGAAGATATCTATTTAAGACACAAAAAAGCAGTAGTGACAAAATAGGAACAAAAATGACATGACATAGATAACAAATAGTAAAATGACAGACATAAATTCTATCATATCAGTAACTACACTGACTATAAAAGGAGTAAACACTGCAAACAAAAGTCAGTGATTAGGTTAAAGGATAAAAGATCATTATGCTATTATTTACTGTCTTTATGATACATAAGTTGGAGTCAAAGACAAATAATTTGAAAGTGGAAAGATGAAATAAGATACATTATCTAAATAATGACCAAAAGAGAATTGTATTGGTTATATTAATATAAGAAAAAGAAAAAGTAAGGAAAATTATTATAATGATGATAATATGTGTCAGAACAGCAAGAAATTCATAACAATAATAAACATACATACATCCACTAACAAAGCATTAAAATACATAAATCAAAAGTTGACACACTTGAAGGGAAAAACAGACAATTCAGCAATAATAGATACTTTAATATCACACTTTAAAAATGGATAGATAAACTATAAAAAATGTTCTAACAGGTAAACAGAAGACTTGAACAATACTTCAAAGCAACTAGACCCAGTAGATATCTATAGAACACTCCAATGAACAACAGAATACACCGTTTCTTAAGCGCATTTGAGACATTCTGCAAGACAAGCCATAAGTTAGGTAATGAAACAAGTCAGTAAATTTAAAAGGATTGAATTAAGATTGCAAGATACAAGATCAATATATAAACAACATTTGTATTTCTATAAACTAGAAATTAAAAAACTGAAAATCAAAATAAGAAAACAATTACATTTACAAAACTATCAAAAAGAATACAATACTTAAGAATGAATTTAACAAAATAAGTGCATGATTGTATGTTGAAAACTACAAAAATGTCGTTGAAAGAAATGAAAGACAATCTAAGCAAATGAAAAGGCATTCTATGTTCATGAACTGAGACTTAATATTGCTA